AAAAAAAAAAAAAGATAACCTCAAGTGTTAAACCAACAGCTGCTATTCATTGTTCCAAACCTAATACTATTCCATGGCATATAGTTTTCTCTGATGTAGAAGAAGGTGGCCTTGGTATCAGATCTCCTATTGATATCAATAATGCATATATGTTAAAACTTTGTTGGAATTTTGTCAAAGGAGATGAGGATTGGGCTTCTGTCTTAGCCAGTAGAGTTTATAATAAAAATGGCAAAGTTGTTCACTATTTAGCATCTTCAACTTGGGCTAGTATAAGATATGTGTATCCAATTGTTAAGATTAATTCTTCCTAGCTTATAGGAAATGGTAAAAAAAGTTAATTTTTGGACAGATAAATGGCTTTCTATGCCCATTGTTGATATTCTAAATAATGATGTCCCTTTGCACTCTAAGCTGAGATCCTCTATAGATTGCTTCATTCGGAATGGGTCTTGGCATCTTCCTTCTTTTATTCAAAACAGGATTGGTGTCCAAATCTCTAACATTGTCCTTCCCTCTGGTGAGTATAATGATGCTATTAAGTGGACTTCCTTTGCTAATCATGATCTATCTTTTAAAGAAGTTTTTTCTTTTATTAGACAATCAAAGCCTAAGCTTAACTTGCTAAAAAGATTTGGAATCACCATCTTACCCCCTCCATGTCTTTTGTTCTATGGAGACTTATAGATGATAAGCTACCTTCCAAGGATTTTCTTTGGAAAAAGGGGGTTGTTATCACCTCTATATGTTCACATTGTTATAATGCTTATGAAACTACTACTCATGTATTTTTTGAATGTCCTTTTGCCCTTAGTCTTTGGGATTGGCTCTTTAAGTTAGTTGATAACAGATTAAATATTACTAATATTTTGGGTATTCTTAACAAACCTTGGAGTAAATTAGCTAACTTTGTGTTATTAGTTGTTGTTACTTTCATTGTTGCTGAAATATGGAATAGTCAAAATCAAATAAAATTCAAAAAAAAATTCTTAAAATTGATCTTTTGAAAAATAAGATTATTTCTTTAGTGAATTCTTGTTGTTCTTTTACTACTTTTTCTATGAAACCTAACATTTAGGAATTTAATATCTTGAAAGCTTTCATGTTGCCTTGTAGGTCAAGAAAAGTTGTATCCACTACTGAAGTTCGTTAAATCCCTCTTTCGCCTGGATGGATCAAGTGCAATACAGACAGAGCTTTCTCTACTTATGATTCCTCAACTGCTTGTGGGATTGTCTTCAGGGATAGCTTGGCTAATATGATTGAATGTTTAGCTGAGTCAAAAGTGGTCCAATCGGCTTTGGAGGCGAAACTTTTAACAGTCATTCATGCATTTCAGATTGCTCATGATCAAGGGTGGATGTCCCTTTGGATAGAGTCTGACTCAATAACATCATGTGTAATTGTTGAGATGATGAATGTTGATGATGCTTTAGGCATTTAGGCATGATGTTATTGAGTTGTGTTGATCAACCTAGGAATAGAGGAGAAAATAATTTAAAGTTGCATATTCCAGTGTGTAGATATGTGTTATGATGCTCTAAAAGCCCAATTTAATGAAAACCCTTCTTAGGAAGTTAAACCTTAAAGAGGATAGTTGAATTTCCTTTAGGGCTTAGTTGATACCGTGTGCGGACAAAATCAAGGCACACATGTGTAAAGAGACCAATTGAGTAAAGTATGAAGTCAAGAACTAGTTCCTAATTGAGTATTGGAAAGACGTAGTATTTGGAGGGTAACTAGTGGAATAATCTCATAGGAGGCTTGGTTAAGCTAGCTAATGTCGTGATAGGCCTATACCCAGTTGTTCTACCCTGACACTAGTACTAGACTTCTTTTTTAAGTGGCGACATCCATGAAACTAAGTTAATGTGATGTGGATTGATACCTAATTTGTTGTTGATCTAGCAAGCCAAAAAGATCATCATGTGTTGTTGGTTCGGTGGGATCAAGCCGCTTGAATTTCTCACCTTATGTTGTAGGAGATCTTCTAGTTGAAATGCTTAACGACACATGTAGTTGTTGTGATAAAAAAAAATTGAGCTATTGATGTAGTGATGTTTAAATTGATATTGTGTTGTAGTAGACTGAGGTGTTCATATTGATATATGTTTGGTGTATTGTGATGCTATATGATGATATTGTTGAAGGTGCAAGGAAGATGTGTTGATATATTAATGTTGTTGATGTTTCATGTTGTTTATATGTTATCTCATTAAACTTTAGATTACCCTTTTGTGTCTTCCATGAGGTTTGGATTACAATGATCATAGTGGTATGAAAGTATAACAAAGATAGGTATGAGGTGTTGCAACTGATGTGTCTATCAAGAGGATGGCAATGTTATTTATATTTTTGGATGTTACCACTGTGTAATACTTTGAATAGAAATTTCTTAATCGAAAACTTAGATTATTTAGTTTACTTTTACTAGATTATTGTATTTATATCACATATGGTTGTATAGTTCTTTCACTTTCACATGAATGATATATAGTACATATTCAGTTATGAGTAAACTTATAACTTTAAGTTATTAGTTTTTTTTTATTGTTGACTGTTGTAATTCGTTAAGTATGGAAAAGGATGAATCATTACATTAGTTTTAAGCCATGTTATTATTGTTGTGTTGTATGGTTTACATATTGAAGTTGGTAGTGTGGTTGTCTTTACTTATATACTTGTTATATGTTTATTTTTTTGTATACTATCTTACCCTTGCATGTTTCTTAATAGTTGGATTACGATGATCATATTTATATGGGAATAAGACATGGATAGGTCAAAGAAAATGTTTTGTGAGGCTATGTTGGTGATGGTGGAGCTAATCTTTTTGGACTACTCTGATGTAACTAATATAGTTGAGTTGCTTGATTGACAACTTATAATTAGTATTTAGTTCCTGATCTGGTACATATATATATATATATATAATTGTTTATATATCAATCATAGATAATTGAATGTTTTTTGCTACTAATAATTGTTGGAACCCAAAAAATTTCGACCTTGTCCATAGATGATTTGGACTTCGTTTTAAAAATCTCATCGATTTAGGAATGCCCGAGGATTAGACTAATCATTCACCAATGATTTTTGAAAAGAGTTTGAAGGAGTCACCACCAACATTTTACTCAAAACGTAGGAAAAAGAAAAGGGTTTTCATAAACTAATAATGACCTTTATAGACAGAATTAAGGTTCGGGGGTCGGTTACACGTGAAAAAGGTATTACACACCCCATAGTGCCTTGATTCGGTACCTTATGATGAATTTAGTATAGTAATAAACATAATTAAATATTTACCCCTTTTTTACTAGTCATTTAAACACTTATTATCTATATGGTTATTGATTGTCGTGTGATAATAAGGTTATGAATAAAACAATTAAATAAATAAGGAGAGAGAAGAAATTAATAAGAACCTCCAAAGCAAACTTTATAACAAATTTTTAAAGAGTGGTGCAAGGGTGTGTTTTGGCAACCTTTCGCTCTATAAAAAGCCTCATAGACACTCAAGAATATGTAAAGAAAGAGAAGAAAATGATTCTGACAGGAATCTCTCAACTATGTGTAGAATGTGGGAGTTTGAACCTTGGACATACTTATATAAGCACTCAAGGATGGGGAATGGTCGTTCTTAAGACTGAAACGACCATTTTGGGCCTTAAAATAGCACTAAGAGGGTTTTTGGGAACATGTCATTCTAAATTAGGATTGTCGATTAAATTTTTAGTTGGGAACGACCGTTTCAAGTTTGGGTAAGTCGTTCCCAACTAGGATTTCATATACAAAATTTGAATTGGGAATGACCACTCTAGGTCTTGAACCGTAGCTTTGAGTCTTCTAGACCTCATGGTGTTGTCTTGATTCGTTTCTATGTTTTATTGGGCCCTCGAAAATTGCTCTTCAAGTCTTAATGACCTTTCGTCCTTAATGGGATAAAGTGGATGAAATCTGGTGTCTACAATAATTCAATTATTAAACATATGAATTCTAATGGGTCAATTCATAATTCACATTTAATCACTTTAAAATTTAGATAAAAAAATAATTTTTTCACTTTAAATATTTACTATTGAAAATGTTGAACTCTTTGAATATAATCGCCAAAAAAATTACCGAAATAAGCATAGCAAATATTATATTTTAAATATTTTTTTTACACATCACTTAATTATTAATTCAAAAGATGGTTCGACGTCTTTTTATATAACATCACTCATTTAATATTAATGCATATTCAAAATTTTGAACTTATAATCACTTATACTAAAAGTTATGTATATTTTTTTAAGTCTCTTATTTTGTTAAAAACAATTATCTATTTGATTTTAAATAATTTTCAAAATATTTATTTAAATCTTTTAACTTTTAATTTTGAATTAATGTTATCCTTATAAAATATTGGTCGTTTTTAATTTGAGGACACACATTTAAATAATTTTTATTAACTAATTTAAGGTCTGAAAAATTTAAAAACTTAATTAGTGTTCGAATAAAACCAGATAAATATAATGAAAATCGTTTGAGAAGTGAAAAAGTGAATCTAAAAAAATGAAAAATCAAATATTCGATTTCTTACGATTACTTGTAGAATTCATTTTCCACGCATTTTGTTCAGTCCATATTTATGCCTTTTTTAGTTCAAACATATTTCAGTGTCATAAGATGAGTTTCACTTTGAAAATTATAGAACTGTGCTCCCAAATAGAAAATTTTACTATTTTAAAAAGACAATATTAACTAAACTTTATAAATTTGAGTAAAAAATATTTTTTTAAAAAAAATTATATTTAGAGCATGTTTGTATTTTCGTTTAATTCTATTCGATATTAAAATTACAAGAGAGTGAAATTACGTTAAACCGAGACTTTTGAAATTCGAAAATAGAGAAAAACAAACATGCTACTAGTCTAGGGAACCCAAATAACTTGTTTATGAATTAATAAATTTGTATTTTTTTCACTATATATCTATATTATGTATGACATGAATAATCTTGATACTTGAAAGCTACGGATCCCTATTTCTTCTGACAAAAAAAGTCACTCCTCACTCTGCCACCTGTTCCGACCAAAGCCTCTTCCTCAGCCGGAAAATGGAGGCGGTGGGTTCCAGACTCAGCCGCGCCTCCTCTCGCTACGGCGCCCCCGCCGTGTTCAGCGGCCCCGTCAGGAAGTGGAAGAAGAAGTGGGTCCACGTCACGCCCTCTTCCCTTCCCAACAACTCTCACACTAACACCCCCAACTCTTCCTCTCGCCTCCTTCTCCGCCGCTGGACCCCCACCACTGCCGACGACGCCGCCGCCGCCAACGTCGCCGACGAGCCTCCCAGGAGGAAGTTCCGTTACACCCCTGTATGTGTCTCTATCTCTGTCTTTTCTTTTTCTTTCTTTTTTTGGTTGCCCTTTTGGGTTTTTGGAGAAATAATTTATTGGGGTTTTGTTTTGTGGTGGAAAGTTTCGATTTTTGTTCTTGGGTTGCGTTGATGGTGTGTGGTGTTTTGGTGGGGTTGGGGATTTGGCTGTGGAAAGAAGGGTGTTGTTTGCATGTGGCATGAGTTGGGTTTTGGGGTGTTGGAAAGATGGTTTGTAAGCTGCTTTATATGAGTTTTGAGTTTGGGTACTGCTATGTATGTGAGGAAGAGAAGAGAGAAAACAGAGAAGATGGATAATAGTGATTAGAGGAGTGTTAGAAACACACCGTTCTTAACCCACTCTCTTACCCTGTTTATTAAAATTCATTGAAAACTACAAAATCGCGACAGAGGTTTGTTTAATAGTGTTAAACTTACCAAATTATGTGACTTCCAATAATTTTAATTAATTAGAAGAGTTGTGGTCTAAAGAGTGTATCAGAAATCGTGTTCTTAGCATTTTTCATAAGGATTGAGGTTGTTTTTGTTCTTTGTTGAAGGGAAAGTAAAGAGTTAATTTTAGTTTAATTTCTATGCGGACAATAATTAGAAATCAGTTTTAGATAATTATTGTAAAAGTGAAATAAGTTTATCGTATATGGGAATTTGTTTATAATTGGACGACAGTATATAATTATATATGTTTATTAGGTTGTTTTAGTCCTTATTTGGGTGGAGATTGTGGTTCCATTGAGTATTGAAATTTGTATCTTTTTTGTTGGTAGACCAGGGTAGTCATAATTTTGTGCATGGGTTGGTGTGTGGGAGGATCATTCTTATGACTTTAGTAGGTTTCTTTAGTTGGAATTGGGGAAGAAACAATCTCACATAAGTCTAGTTAGCGTTAATCAAGAATAATTGGCAAACGAGTCCATTTCACCATGATTCACAAGTGAGGGTTATTCATTTCCATGATGCAGATTGCTGTACTAGAAGAACAGAAAAAGATGATGGTTGTTAAGGCTGAAGATGAGCCCACGACCGAGAGTGACCAATCAGCAGCTAGACAGACGAATGTGACTCATGAGATGCAAGGGAAACTGAACATGAATGAAATGTTGGAGGAAGCCAAGGTAAAAGTATCAGAGTTCTCCATTCCTGTTTAAGAAATGCTAACAACACTCTCTTGTTAATAGTCTATTGTTAAATGCTAATACTCTTCCTGTGTTGAGTGGTTTTGAACATTTCTCTGGTTTCAATTTTTGGACTTTCAAAGTTGACATAGGATTTCATGTGCTTCAAATTTATCTTTTCCTCACTTGTATCAGACTGCCCTTAGATTATCCTTTGCTTACAATTATAGACACAAACCTCAGGTTTAACATTCAGGAATGATCAATTCATGTGTGTGTATGTAGTGAACCTTAGTGCAATGTAAAGACTGCTACTTATTCTTATTGTTGGGTACAACTACAACATTATAATAATTATTAACATTGGTGTTGCAGGATTCAAACATGGGTAGTAACTTGGATCTTGGTTTGGACTTCCAAAGCAACAATGGTGAGAACAGCCATAACAGTGATGAACAATCGGATAAACAAAATCTAGTGGGCGATCCATGATACTCGAGTAGAAAATCAAGCTGTGGCAGCAAAGTGTTAATTCTAGAAATACTGTGCTAGTACATATGCCCTGTTGTATCACCTAGTACCTACCATCCTACATTCACATAGAATGTAGCTAGTAGTAATCTTGTGTAAATAATTAGCTCTCAAGTAGTGCTGCCAGTAGTATAGAAATGATAAATAACTAGTTTTGGTCAGCTTAGGATGATAGCTGGTATTTCGTGATGGATCATATGCACAAATCATGTGAGGATACTAAGGAGATGTACTATATATATAAATATAAATTCTCGATATCATCCCAAGATCTTACTATTGTACTTTTCATCACCCTAGTTTTAGTATTATTTTTCAATTGTAATTGAATTTTTATTTTGGTAATCCGAGTAATAAAGGTGGTACTAAAGAAAGATAAACATATACTCTTTGGTTATAAAGGGAGTAAAAAAAATGAGAAATCCCTTTGCAACCATTCTGAATACTACCTATGATTCAAAAAATTTAAGGTGTTACAAATTTGAAGTCTCGTTAATTATTTTATTTTTCCTCATAAAATAACTTTCAATTTAAAATAAAAATTGTTTAACTAAGCATCTTGTATATAACATTAAATTTAATTAAAATAGTGTACAAATATAAATAATCAAAACAAAAGGACAAAATTTGTCATTGGAGCGATTTTTCATTAATATTAAACTTCATTAAGCATATAAATTTAAAATAATTTTATGTTTTTAACATCAATTTTATTTTCATCTAAAAAAAATAACATCTTATTAAAATAATATAGATAAATAATAAATGGTTAAGTACATTATTGATGGGTTGGACTTATGAAGATGTAAGTTTGTTAGTTGAGTAGTTTGGTTCACCACGGACTCCACCAGGGTGGGTCGGGTCGAACGTGGCTGAGTTGAGTTTTATGATTGACCCATTATGAAAAGAAAAAAATGGCTCGATCTTGCTCGTTTTTAAGGTGAATCAGATTGGTCTACGAGTCGAAATTCATTTTGACAATTGTATTTTTAGTTTTTATATTTGTAGGTGTTTTTAGTCTGTCATTAAATTTTTGTAATGCCTTTTTTATGTTAATATTATAGGGGTATTTAATTTTGTGAGTAAAACAAAAAGATGTTTCAACAATAAGTGTCACAAGTAAGAGCATAAAAAAGATGCGACATAGAAAGACCTAATTTAGACCAATTCTGATAAAATAAATTTGATATTAAACATACAAAGTTGAATTAATACTTTTATTACATTAATATAAACGAAGATAATGTTACAAAATGATTAAAAAATCATAAATATAAGAATTAAAAATATTTATCTTAAGCAATAGACATAAAAATGATTGAAAAAGATTGAAAAAGATTAATATAAAGATTAAAAAGATCTTTTAAATTATAAAGACCAAAAGATAAAATGAGTGAAACTATAAAGACTAAAAATTATTTTTTAAAAATCATACTTTAACCTTGTAATTACTCTTATAATAGATACTAAGAGTGTGGTTGGAAAAGTTGTAAAAATTAGATTATTAATAATCGATTATAGTGATAATCCATTATAATTATAATGAAATTTTATTTGAATAAGTTTGTTAAAATGTTTAATTTTGTTTGGAGTTGGAAAATCAAATTAGTTTGTGTAGTGAATTGGATTAAGAAGGAAAAGAAACTTATCAAAAAATAATCATAAGTTTTGAATTTTTAGTTTGATAAGAATACCGTCTTTTTTTTTAAAGAAAAAACTATTTACAAATTTAAACTTTTTTTTTTCAAAATAAAGCTTTTTTTAAGTAATTTTCTTATTGAAAAAACCAAAAATAGTAAACATGTTTTATAATTTATTCTAACTCATATAGATTTTATTTTCTAAACTTATCTCACTTTAAAAGTAATTATGCCTGTATTTTTAATAACTACTCACTACTATATAATTTTTTTTTTTAAATATTCACGAAAGTACGAAATATCTTTTGTACGTTAATAATCATAATAGTAATATTAGATAATACTAATAATAATAAATAATGAATAAGAAATATAATTTTATTTAGGCTTAAATATGTTTTTAGTTCCTCAAATTTAAGATAAATTTATTTTTAGTCCCTTATATTTAAATTTATTATTTTTAATCCCTGTAATTTTCAAAAATCTTGTTTTAGTCCCTTAGGTCACCAATAACATATTTAAAAGTGACTAATTAAGACAGTTATGCAATATCAATCAAATTTAATATGATATTTTCACTAATAAAAATACCAATAGGTAGATTTTATGCAATAATATTTGATAAATTTCTTAACAAAATTTGAATATAAAGACTAAAATAAGATTTTTTGAAATTACAGGGACTAAAAATAACAATTTTAAATTTGAGAGACCAAAAACAAATTTACCCTAAATTTGAGGGACTAAAAACATATTTAAGCCTTTTAAAATAAAGGGGTGATTTTGTAATATATATATATGTATATATATAATAAAGTAAAAATAATAACAATAAATAAATATAGTAATAAAAAATTAATTTATATTTTAAATAAATTTATTTAAAAACATTATGTTTATTTATTTATTAAAATAATATAACTATAATTAATAAATATAATAAAAATATTTATTATGTTTAAATAAAATTATCTATAAATTTTTTTATTTATTTAAATAATAATAATATATTTATTTGTTTTTAAACAAAATTATCCATACAAATAATAAACTTCCACTATATTTTTCTTTTATTTCTCTTTTACCAAACAAATTTTATTTCTATTTTATTTTCCTACATTTTTCTTCTCTTATTTTCTTTTTCCTACATTTCTTTCCTCGTCAACAAGAATAACAAGAACAAAGAGATATTAAGGCTATTTTTTTCACTACCATTCAATTAAAAACACCTTAAGTAATTATTACAAAAATTAACAATCTTACCACACAAGATACTTTGTCTCTTTTCAACTATAAGCAAAAAACATATACTTTTTTTTCTTTGAATATAAGCAATTTACAACTAATTTTTTTTACCTCATTTAACATACTTTTTGTCTTTTTCTATAATATCTCTTCTTTAATATATGATCTTTCAATTGTACTATTTGTTTTTTATGTTTATAATATGAACTATTTAGTAAGAATACTATGAAATTAATAAAATTTAATACAGATAATTAATTTTTTAATGCGTAAAATTAATTTTTTTTTTCTTGAAATAGAAAAAGGAGAATAATAGATAATCTATAATAAGATGACAATATAAAAAATTCTTACATTGTCAATGCATCCTACTTATATTCATAAATACAATGATATGCAAAAAAACAAACAAAATCTAATATATATATATATATATATATATATATATATATATATATATGTGTGTGTGTGTGTGTGTATAGGAGAAAAAGCAGCTGCATCCTGTTGACTATCTTCAAATCTTATAATTGAGTGTTCTTCACCACATGTAAATTATGATTTGCAAAGAGAAAGGAACTAGAACTCCTGAATTGAGTGCGGGTATGAAGAGGTCCCACTACAAAAGATGTTACTATAATGAACATGCAAATAGCATGTATACAACTACCAAAATCTCATGGAATCAAGCTCATCGTACATGGTATTTAGTTATTGAAAACTAAAATTCCGAACAATAGTAGGAGAAAAGAATTCCTTCCCGTGCAGGACAAAATAGAGTCCAGCAAAAGAGAACTAGTGTTGAGAAAAAGCATGTTGCGAAAAACATTGAATGGTATCCAATAAGAACCCACTACTCAAGCATTTCTTCATGCCATCATCACTCAGATGCTTTGTTATCCTCCACTTCTTGAGTGACACCAACTTCGGCTGGACGAAGAACTCGATCATAGAGCATATATCCTGCCTGCAAATATGACCATAGTATTGTTTTAATCCATGCTCAATCTTTATGTCATGTTGGAATTTTGATGTAAAGGGATGGAAAAGAAGGAAGTAACAAATGGTGGCATTGCTTGAATGTTTAAGAGTGAACCATCAAGCAAAACCAAGAGCAAGACCAAATTTATTCCAACATAAGGAGAAACAAAACTAAGAATTTAGAAAGTAAAGCCCTTTCTGATAATCATCAATGGAAACAATCAGAATGGCTGAATAATATAAACAGTTTTGAAGGACAAAGCAAATGTTGACATTCGGGGGGTCATACATGGTATTACAATTACAATTTCGAATAAACATGTAGAATACCTTCAGAACAAGTCCAACAGTGCCCGGGGCCCTGGAAGCATCAGGGATTTGGAAGATGGCATTGTGCCTGTGTGGATCAAATGGCTCATTTGTAGGATCAAATTTTTCTACACCAAACTTTTTAAGTACCTGTAAGCAGCAGTTGTTAACCAAAATGAATAAGATTAAACATGGGAACTATCCTTTGAAGCACATTAAATCAAGCAAAAAAAAAGATGCAAAGAATATAAAATGTTCCCAGTCTCACTTCCGCACCATTATGAACCACTATACTCCACTTTACTCTCCTAAACATGAACCTATTGTTATGGGGTTGACGTTAAAATTCCATCAATTTTACTAGATCATTGTTATTTGTTACTTACGTATTAGCTTAACTATGCATTCACTTTTCTTGTATTGGTTTGTTCTTGGACTGGGCTTATCTTGGGTTTTAATGTGTTCTTTAATTTGTGTCCAAGTTTCTATTATGATTTTAAATAAATTGGACCATAACAGTAAGATTCTAATCATAATAAGTAATGGGAATGATTTTCCTTATATAGAATAAGGGTGTATTTGGAAAATTTTAGGTTGAACATAATCTATTTTTTTTCAATCCATCGATATATTTACTTCGTTTTAAGTCTTGGAACACTTGAATAGACATATGGAGTATTGCAAACAAAAATCCAACCACACTAATTGACTTGCAAGTTATTACAATTCACAACAATTTTTATCTTCTAGATGATGTATGCACGAGCGAACCCAAGGTGTGATTCCTTACTTCTCTTCGATTCACTTCTACCGTGTTTCCTTTAATTTTCTTTACAACTAAAGCTACTTTCCTCGCAGACAATCTGAACAATTCACCCCACCAAAACCAATTTAGCCAAATTCATTCCTGTTTTAAGATTCCCTAACTAAAACCAATCTTAGTCTTAGAAAGTATGAACAACACCCTGACAGCCACCAGCCAGGCCAAAAACCACCTATTTTCTGGTAAATCAACTCCCCCAGCCCCTATCATTTACCCATATAAATGCTGAACATTGCAACAAGAGGAAAAACAGCCATACAAATTTGAAACATAACCGTATACATGATAGGTCACTATATTAGCATTGACAATTACAATAAACAACCACACCATAAAGTAGAACAGTCTACCTCTGCAAGTTGTTTCTCTGTCATTTCAACACCTTCTAGAAGTGTTTTCAGGAGTTGTGCTGCTTCAGAAGACTCCTTAGGAGTTTCAATTTTCGAAAAGCTGTCCTTTACAACTGAGGAAGCTCTTCCTAAATTGTCAGAAACATCTAGTAAACTCTTCGCAAAATTCTACATCAAATATGAAGCCAGTCAGCACCAATTGAAAAGCATTTGACAATGGAGCAAGAGCCAAAGGGTCTGAATCACAAAATAAGAATTAAAAACAAAAGGTTAAAACTCAGACCTGTATAGCAAATTTTTTCGAATTCCCTGCTTCGCGCCTTGTCCTGTCCATGACATTCTCCATCTCTGCATAAGTTCGCAGAACTTTATCCTGCATTTTCTCAATTTCCTTGTGCTTCAACTTCAAAAGTTGTTCCTTCTCAGCAACAAGCTTTATCAAGTCATCCCTGGATAGATCACATTCACTCTCTATATCTGAATCAGAAAATGCAGTTCATTCAAAACTCCTTATTCCTTAATATTTCTTTTAACCAATCAAGGTTGAGACTGTGATTCTGAAATAGAACCTGATTCTTTGGTTTGATCCGCAGCTTTGGCTTGTTCAGACTGATCAGTTACCTTTGCTTCTTCACTTGCAGGTTCGGGTGAGGCTGTTGAAGAAAATCCGAATCTCGAAGTCAAAGATGAATTCATTGGATTCAGCAAACTGGCTTGAACTGGAATCAGCTGAAATATCAGAGAACACACGAAACTCAATGAGAAATTATATCAACCAAAACTAAATTTACTCCACAAAATTGTAAGAAGCAATATGGAACAATCATAAAATTGACATAATTCATAGTCAAAAAATATACCAGAATACACTAAACTCATACATGGAATAAAAAACGCCAAAACTGCAAAGTTTTCAATATACCCTAAAACCCTAGTTAAACCCCCACAAATGAAATTAGCGAAAAATCAAATTTTGATCAGGTTTTCGAAGTGGGATTACCTTGTTGGGTGATGGGTGAAGGAGGGAATGGAAATGATTGGAGAGGGTGGTGGATGAAGGTTGGGAATTTCGTGAAACAGAGAAAAGGGTGAAGCTTCGAGAAAGGGTGGCAGAGGAACGGGACAAGACCCTGTGAGCGAACATGACGGAAGAGAATTGATGGAGAAGGGATTTGGATTGGGATTGAAGAGCGGAAATGATTTCTGAGGAAAATATATGGTGGAAAATTTGCTTGGACAGAAAGAAAACAAGTGCTTTTGTCTTAGGTTGGGGAGTTTGGGGTTAGGGTTTATGGGGAATATTTCTTTGTTGACGATATTGCCCTTGTTATTTTGGGTTTGGAATTTGGAATCTAGTGTTTTCTTTTATCATTATGATCTGGAGAAAAATTAATAAGAGAACTATAATGGGGGACACTTTCTTCGATATTCTATGTCTAACATGATTTGTTAAATTTATTATCCACCTCATTAAATATGGCGAAATTTATAAAAATGTGTACTTTTTTTTATAAACTTTAGTCTATTATAAAAAGAATTTGAAATGATTCATATCATAATTTTATTGAAAAGGTTTAGTTTCATTTTAGATTTTTTTTATTCAGTGAAAATTATGATAAGACCATAATTATCCAATTTTTTAGGCTAAGATCTTATATGCTACTCCATTTCTTTGGATTTAGTCTGGAACAATGGAACATAGGAAGGAGAAAAAAAACGTACTACGGAGGTTTTTAAATAAGTACATGACATAAGGGTGAGAATCAAACATCGAGCATATTTTTTAAGGTATTTCAAAAGATGGGATAGTTGAGATAGTTAGTCCCAAGATTTAACGCGACTGCATACATAAGACAAGATTCGAACCCCTGACCTTATTTAAGGGTGGATCAACCCCTACCGTTGAACCACACACTTAAGATTAAAGATCGTGCATATTTGAACAATCGTATAAATAAACAATTTTTATAAATAAAACCTCACATTAATCTTTATTGTTGATTAACATTCTAAGATGTACATTATTTAAAACAAATGTTTATTTTAAATAATTAAAATTTACGATACATAAGTATTTTTAAAATATAAAATATTATATCTAAAATTTATAATAATAAATATATGTATATATATTACATTTAAAATTATAAGCAAAACCATTTAAATTGTAATTTTAAACTACTGATAATTTTTAAAAAGTTATTAAAATCTATTTTAGAAATTAAGACAAAACTAAGTAGATCGAAAAAGATAAATGCACATGTGATGTAAGAAATTACAAAGCCGTCCTACTTTTTATTTTTTTTTAGTTTTAATGTTATGATATGTTACTAACAAGGTTTATCATAGATAAACTTGTATATTAAGCATGTATTTAAGAGTTTGATTTCTAAATACGTATAAAAGATATTTATCGAAATATGTTAATTCCTTTTAAATAGATCTAATTACTTCAGAAGATTAATTTTTTATTTTCAACAGAGATATCTTAATTTATCTTAAAAAAATGTTGTGTCTATATGAGAGAGAAATATACACATATAATAATTTATCGATAATTAAATATTATCTTTAAAATTATAAATTATTTAAATTTTAACTATATATCTTTAAAAAAAATATTGCTTTTAGATATTACTGTACCCAATTTGTAATCAGATTAAAATCGTACGAAATACTTAAACACAAATATTAACTATTAATTTAAGTGATCAATTTGACCAACCATTATAATTTTAGAGAGTAAACGAAGAACTACTAAACAGTTATTTCCTGCAAACTTATTAACTAAATGTCAGTGTTATTTTTAATGTAGAATTTAAAAATATTTTAACAAAAAAAATATATCATTAACCTAACCACTAATTAGTAAAATTTCACATTAGCAAGATTTAGTATTTTATTAATATCCCATCATATGTGAACAGTAAAAAGTAAAAGGATATTTATTTGATGGAGGCTAGGATATTAATTGTTCTTGGTGAGGTTAGGTTAGAGGAAGTGATGAGTGGGAGGGGAACAACATCATGTGGAACGGAAGGTAGAGGAAGCCATGGATTAAGCATTGCGACCAACAATATGCTACAGTAAGAGCAGGGGCTATTGAGGAATGGTTGAAGAGGAAGAGAGTGTAATCTGATGTATATGATTCACGTATAGTATAATCTATATTTAGGAGATTAATATAACGGTTAAAAATGATTGATCACCATAGATCACCTATCAAGGTAGACTATGGTAACCTCCATCTATTTATTCTTAGTTGTACAAGTAAGAGTAAATAGATAGATTAACATTTAAGATGGGAAAAAATATGTTGTTGATGAAAAGGTTGAAAATGAACGATCACAAGTTTCTTCCATCTTCAAAAGCAGAAATCAAACAAAGAAAAATGGAAGCAAATTTCACAAAAGCAGAAATAAAACATCAAAGGAACCAAAATTCAAGATGAGAAGTAGAAACTAGAAGATATCCATGTTCTATCCCATAGAAGCACATTGCTCAGTTTTTTATGAGCATGCATTAGGAATTTTGAAATTCTGATAGGGTTATTTTTGTTCGAACATAGTTCTAATATCATCATGAAAAACACATTCAAGAAGTTAGACACAAATAGTTAATGTACTGAACTTAAGGTTGAATTGTTCGGACAGTGTTCGAGTTTGATCCTTAACAAAAACAACTCTTAGAACACTAGTGCAAAACCAAAAAAATCATCATGAAAAGCACAAACCAAAATAGCTAGTAAATAAGCACTTCTAAGAGCTTTCAAAGTTGACATAAGAAACTAATCCAAACACTACCTTTAGCTTTAAAAAACAAAACTACTTACCCCAGTAGATAAGCTCCATCCAAATAGCCGCCACACAGTTATTAATTTCGGATAACAACCTGTAGCAACTGACCCCAAATAATGCTATAGCAGTGTAGCAAATAGCGAGATGACCACTATTTTGATTTTTTATGCAGATTAAATAATTTATACTATATACATATAAATGCTAATTTAAAAAGAAAATACATAACATTCATGACGTATTCTTAATTAACAATAAAAGGTCATATGTTTTAATCAAAACATACAAGTAAATAACAATAGATGTGAAGAAAACAAACAAAATTAAAGGCATAATCATATTTCAAAATTCAAATATAAGACATCTTAAACATTCAATAAAAAGAAAGGGTGGGTGTTGCAGAAAGAAAAGAACAAAAGAGGTTGATGGTTCACAGTTTAGAACACAGAGATGATTCAAAATGCAAAGTAGATAAGAGAATAGAAGGTGGCTAATGCTAGAAATACTGACGAAGATGGGTGGGTGTTAGTTGAACAGTGAGGAGTCACAATAGATAAAAGCATGGGAAAATAAATCCAATTAGGGATATTTTTTATTGAGTTAATCACTATACACTGTCAGTGTAAAGTCTTTTTACACTGACAACCATTCATATTTTTTAATAGTGACATGTCAGTTGTTTATTTAATGAAATAATAATAAAATAAGTAACTTTAAAAGATATGATTGGTTGCCAGTGTAAAAAACTTTACACGGGCAGTATAGGAATGATTAATTTTATTTTCATTAAATTCAAAAAAGGGAAGGGAAAAATGTTCATTACTTAAAATGAATAAAAAGATGGACCCAACTAGTTTTTGTTTTCCTTCCTTAAGCCTACAAGAAGAGAACCTAGCAAAAATGAATGAAAACACAAAATTTCCCAGTAAAAATGTTCATAACTTAAATGTGCTTCAGCCATCACAAAGCTAATCACCTGACTGTGAACATTGAGTAAGCAATAACTAATATAATCATTATATGAAAAACATTCCGCTGAAGATGGTTTATACAGCAAGATGGATACTAAAAATTATTATAATCATGTGTAATGAAAACAAAAAAACCATTATTTTAACTAACAAGTCTGGTTTTTTAATTCATTCACAATGCTAACCTCAAATGACACCACCACAACTGCATTATGTGAATTCCATTTTGCAGCCACATCAGTGCTCACTTTAAACCAATCATGACATGACAATATTTATCTTAGCAATGATTTTGGTAAATAACAGCATCACTACTTTCATTGATAGAGGCTACCTTTCTGATAAAGTAACTTTTTGGAGTTCTTTTCAGAAAAACAATTCTAAGGACTCATAAAATAACTTGCTATAAATGATAAAACATAGTATTTATGCATACAAAATCAAAACTCTAACAGACAAAATTCTTAATTACAAAATTTAGAAAGTGGCAAAAGCATGCCGTGAAACAAGACCTTTTACGATGGATTACATGTAATAAGATTAATCCATCCATACAGCATAAAGAAAACTGCCAATTTGGAGGTTCAATAGCTAGGTTCCTACACTTATGTCATTACAGTTTGAAGGGGGAAGTGAAAAAGGAAATAAATTCAGAGACTCATCTCGAGGAAGGCTATGCTCTCCAATAAGACAGACATCTTAATTTAATCACACATCATTTGGGCTCTTTTGGAAAATGCATCTTGATAAGTGCAGGAAGTTCTGCTAAGTCAACCTGAGGTTTCCCCAACAAAATACTTTTTAACTTCTCATCACAGTTGACCACATTCTTGTTGTTCGGATCCTGCTCAATGAAGACGCAACTCATCTTAGTCAGTCCATGAGGGCTGCATATCAATATATCAAAATAAATATACCCAACCATAAAACATCACAGCCAACTTAACAACTGCATACATGCATTTTACAAATTTATAACTTACATTTATATAATTAGAAAAATGTAAGTATCATACAAGATCATATAACAGTTCAAAAACATCAGGAGATCTTAATTTGGAATCATATGTTGATAGTGCGTATAACTCAACCAAGACTCGGAACACAAACTAGTCATTTTTTGTCTTACCTCAACCCATGCATACAACAAGTGCACAACATTTTCCTAAGTTGTACTATATCATTAGAACTGCAAGGGAGCATATCTTAGCCAAATTAACACCTAAAGATCAACTATAGGTCTATGTTTACTGTTTAAATTAATGGAAAATAATGAAATGGAGTAAAAAGCGAAATGAAATAATACTAGGTTCCATTGTTTACGAATTGCATGTTTAAAATAGGATGAAATCGAATGGAACATAAAAGAATACATTCCGTTCCATTCAATCAAATACCCTTCTCTTCCCTTTCAATTTGGGGGACATAGATTACCACCTTTTTTTTTTTCCCATTTCATTGTAAAAATATCCAACCAATAGAACCATAATTTATTCCAATCCATTCCATTTACCGTTACATGTTAAAAAATAGCCTTGGTATATCAATATTGAATTGCTCAACTACCGTGTAAGGGTTCCATTCCAATCATTCACTATTTCTACTTCCTACCTTATTGCATCACTACTACTCTCCACAAAGGAGAGAACACAGTACTTAATCTGATCCAATACAAGGTCACAAACCAAAACCCCTTGAATGGTTTAGAAAAACACTTGGCTCAAAACTCACATCTTACGCTCCCTCTTCAATAAACACTAAACAAAGTAACAAACAATTCATATCATTCTGTCATTACAAGTAACCTTGACATAAATTTTGCAAAATTTCAAAAGCATGGCAAAATCCAACATCGTAACAAGATAAAATTGAATGTAACTTAAACAAACAAGCAAAAAAAACATTTTTTTATATACAAAAAAACAACGGGGAACCTGAAGATTATTGGTTTTGATGTAGGACCAAACGCACTTGAAACAGCCCAAGCGAGAAATCTGAGACTGACCCACGAATTCTCTGAGCGTGGATGGAAGGTTGATGAGGTCAATCAAGTTGGCAAGCTTCTTAGGGTTATCAGTGATTGCTTTCTTCATGCGCTGAGGAAGCATTTTCGCTTTGAATCCCTGAAATCCAATGCCTAAGCAAAGTTGGGCACCTATCAAAAACAAAGCTTGATGAAGAAAGAGAAACGGGTCGCGTGGATGGGTTTTGAAAGATGCAACCAAATGAATGAAAATGGCAGAAGTAAAAAAGAAGGGATTTGAAGTCTGAACTTGAACTTGTAGAACAGAGTATTGATTATTGAGTCACACGAAAACTGAAAAGGATAAGAGGGTAAAATCATTTCAAGGCACTATCTACTATCACATTCAGCCCCTCAAAGTCACGGTTAACTGATGGTAAATATACTCTTACTCGCGGATAATACTCAAATCTGTCCCAATTTTGACAGGAAATACTTGATTTGACCAAATACAGGTATAGATAAGGGTAAAATCTAATATATGAAATCAAGTACGAGTACAGGTATATACTTACCCGCCCCGTACCCGTACCCGTACCCGTTTCCATATTCTCACTTTTAATTTAATACTCACTTTCAATTTAATTATATTAAAGAATTTTAATATCTTTTTATGTTTGATTATTTATTATAATATGAGATAGATAAATAATTTAATTATAATTATAATATAATAAAAAAAATTTAAAAATATCATATTTTTTTACAAAAAAAAATAAATAAAAAAATTGACGGGTACGAGTACAGGTACGAGTATACTCGATACCCGACAAGGATGGAGATAGGGATGAAAATCACATACCCGACAGGTACGGAAACGGGTGACAGGAATGTGTTTGACTTACGAGAACAGGAACGGGTATCATGAAACCCGTACCTGTCTCGTCCCGTTGTCATCCCTAGTTCACTCTTGTGAAATTTGTGTATAGGGTTAGATGTTTAGATAAATAAATAAATGATTTGGATGAATTATCATTTATTAGTGTTATTTATATTTAATTTTTATATTTTAGTAATTGTTTTTAACATAAATTCTTAAGTTACCCTTATTTAAAAAGAAAAGAAAAATGTATTTTTTGGCAATACTTCATAAAAATTCTATTAATATGTGGGAAGAAAAAATTGAAGAGAATATTTAGATAAATAAAAATCCGTCAAATACGTGGTTCACTCTTGTGAACCTTGTGTACACCGTTAGATCTTTAGATAAATAAAAAAATGGTTCGGATGAATTATCATTTACCACTTACCAATGTTATTTGTATTTGATTTTTATGCTTTTAGTAATTGTTTTTAACGTAAATTTCTAAGTTGCCCTCGTTTAAAGAGGAATGAAAAATGTGTTTTTTGGCGATGCTTTGAAGAAACTCTATTGTCATGTGGGAAGAAAAAATTGAAGGGAAACATCTAGATTTGTCATAAGTCGAAAAATAAAAGTAGAAAGCAACAACAATGAGTAGAGATGGATCCCTGTTTGGTATGAACAACTAACTATAAGCATTTCAGTTCACAAATCACTACGCGAGAGAGAGGTTACTCCAAAAGAATAAAAGAAAAGTCTTTAATATGAATCCTCACTAAATCAAACTCCATAAGGCCAAAACCTCGAAATAAAGTCATGGTGTAGAAGAAGAAGAGAGTTACAATGTCTTGACCCATACGTTGAAGTAGCCCATCGTAGTAAGCGCCTCATTTTAAAGCCAATTTGTTTAAGTTTTTTTTTTAAAAAAATTTTGTTTAACTAGTAATTTAATGTGGAATTTACATGATAATTTTTTTTATATTATATTAGTAGGGTTGAGACACTTTGTGTCTTTATTAAAAATAGAATAAAAAATTAAGATTAAGTAATAAATGTATGCTGGTTTAATTAAAGTTCAAGTCTCAAATTTGAAAAAAAAAATTTAAAAAAATTAATAATAAAAGAGTATAATCATCTAATAAATGTGGAGATCAAATAATTACTAAAAGGATATTCTCTTTATATATTAATTTTTTAGCAAACAAAAATTTCCTTAATTATTCTCTATTTGGACAAAGTTTTTGACAAAAAAACTACTCTAAATGTTAACAATTGTATATATAATAAGAAAACTTTTATTTTAACATATGGAGAAAAGAAAAACACTAGAAGGGGTTGAATAGTATTAATTAAAAATTCAACACTTTTTTTAAATTATGAATTGGTAATGAGAATGTAAGAGAATTGACGAAAAGAAGATTATAAAGTACACAAGATATTTTTAATACTAGTCCATCTCAATCACGAAAATTACGTCCAGTTTTTTATTAACCTGATTGAGTTTAACTATCTTTCATAAATATACAACAAATATTATTTCACAAACCATTTCTAGCTCAACCTAAGTGCTCTTTTACTTACCTTTTCAAGCAACAAGTATTTTTTAAACAATAGTCTCAATAAGTTTCAACAACTAAGTATTCTTTACAACAAAGTCACTTCAGCTTCAATCAATAATACAAAGTTAAAGTTGAAAAATTACTTGTTTAGTCTTATTTTTAATACGTGATACAACCAATTTGAGTACAAAGTTTTTACATAAAAAATTGTAGAGAAAAGATAAACATTAGAAGGGGGTTGAATAGTGTCAATCAAAAACTCGCATTTTTTCAAGTAGTGAAGAAGTAATGCTAACAGTTAACAATGTTGAAGAGAAAGCAGATGAAATAAAAGATATTTTTATATTGGTTTGTCTTAACTATCGAGACTATGTCCAATTCTTAATCCAACCAGATTGAGTTTTACTACCTTAAATAAGATACAAGTATTATTTCATCAAGTCATTTTTTGCTCAAACCTAAGTGTTCTTTGAATTGCATCTTCAAGCAACCTACCCAAGTATTCTTTTCACACAAAGCCTCTTCAAGCTTCAAAATCAAATATTCTTTTACAGTCAAGTCTTTCCAAGCTCAAGCAACAAGTATTCTTTACAAACAAGTCTCTCTAGACTCAAACAACAAGTATTATTTTATAGATAAGCCTCTCCAGGCTCAAACAATAAGTATTCTTTTACAGATAAGCCTCTTTAAGCTCAAACCCAATAACTTACAGTTACTAAGGTTTACAAAGTTGTTTCGTCTTCTTATCAAGACGTGATACAACAAATTAAGTATAAGAGCTTTACAGAAAGAATATGTTTATTACAAAATTAAGTTCTTCTATATGTATATCTCTCCCTATTTTTCTTATCATGTTTTTCTTATTGTGAAGCTTCTTATATAGTAGCCTAGATGAAGATGACAATTGCAAAATCTTGAGGATTCCTCACAAGCTTGTTTCGCCTATCTTTGTTATAGGTTCCTTGATGTGAGAAATGTTCATTGATGCATTAAATGTGTTTCACTTCTTATCTGATCAAGTAAGCTACTTATCATCTTTAAGATACTAAATAGACTATTTATAACGTGTGTCAACAAGGAATAAGTTCTACATCAATTTTTACTAACTTTCTCTGTGATTTATGGGATTCGTTTGTTTCTTGTTTCTGGCATAAAGCATGACTTATTTTTCTTTAATAGATTTGTGAGTTCCAAAGAGTTTTCTTAGTTTGATCTATTAAGGAATCACTGAGACATGCAACAAGTAGTCATTAGTCTTTATAAATGTTAGGCATTTATGACTATATAAAGACAAACAATATGCTTCATCTAATGACACATCATTTGTCTAATGATTTGTGTCTTATGTTTCATCTTATTTGTATTTCTCAAAAACATTTTTTGTTATAAAAATGTTCCTCTTCCTGTGTTAGGATACACACTTCACTTATCCTTGTTGTAGCAGGTTTGATCCTGGGTCTCGGTCTTCTCATTCCTATCCGGGTAGTCCGATGTGAGGGGGGTTGTGCCTGCAAAGACACTCCAACGCTCAAGTAAGTGCTCGGCGTAATAAATGCGGTAGTTGAAAGTTAGTTACGTACCTCGCTGGGGTCCTATTTATAGTGATTCTTATTGGGCCGCGATTAAGGACTGGGCCCCGGGAAATTAGGGGGCTAATCCGGTGCATTACATAAATTAACCTCTCCATAATTATCCTGGCGTAAATCCGTGACTTGGCCGAGCACACCGACACGTTCCGTTCAGATTGTGAGTGGTCGGTGGGCTCGAGTATTCGACCTGGTCGTCCACGGACTCGGGTATTCGGCCTAGTCGGCCACGAACTCGGGTATTCGGCCTAGTCGGCCACGAACTCGGGTATTCGGCCTAGTCAGCCACCATACGGTATACAACCCCCGCAGCGTCGAGGATGGGAAAGACGAAGACGTTTTAATTGTATAGGGTTGTGGTTCTCGGCGTGGAATGGCAGATGTTGCTTCCGACCGCTAGTAGTAGTGTGCATGTTCCTAGTGTAGTCGGTTTTGCTAACCTCGGTGGTCGTGGCCGGTTCGAATTTCCATGTGTCAAACGTCCTCCCTAATTGCTAAGCATGTTATGATGAGGTCGGTTGTCTCCGAGGAGAGGTTGTAGGGGCGACTTAAGGAGGCTGAGGCGACGTTGAAGGAGGCATTGACCGCCAATGCAAAGGTCACCGAGTCGGCCGAAGAACTGAAGAGGGCAGCCGACGCCCATAAGAGAGAGGCCGACGACTTGAAGTTGACGGTCCAGAAAATGAAAGCCGAGGCCACCGCTGTAGCTACCGAGATTGCTCGGTTAAATGAGGCCGCTACCAAGTTCGAAGCCGAGGCCACCGAGAAAAATTCTCGACCAGCACGATGCCGGCTTCCAACATGCTATGCGACAGGTCTTCTACTTTTGTGAGGTCCCGGCTAACTTCAATTTTGATGTTAGTCAGGATTTCTACAGTGGAAAGTTCATAAGTTACGCCGAGTTCCCTCAAGGTGCCCTGCCTGACGAAGAGGCCCCACCGGCAAGGGAGGAGGAGCCGATCATTGATGTGGTCGACGATAGGAATCCAGAGGACTCAGCCGCAATGTAAGAGGTTGACTCTCGTGGTAGTAGGTTAGGGTTAGGATTTTTTGCTTGCTTGTAATCAGACCATTAGTGCCTTTTGTGATCGGCCATTGGCGTCGTGGACAAAGATGATTTTTTGTGTAAGTAGCCGTACTGATCGGCCATACTTTAATGAAATATTTTACTTTCCAATTTTTTGTCATATTCATTAACGCCTAGTAATATAAACACAACCGAATGGTATGCTAGGCCGAAGGGGGGTTAAATTCATGTTTATCGCGGATTAATGCTTGGTGTGAGTTCGGCTCAGGAGTGCTCTGCCTAGG